ACAAAGAACAAAAATTAAGTGTGTAGTGATGTATTTTTTCGTAAAAATTCGACAAAATCTGTTGTTTTTTGGGTGTAACTTAAAAAGACAAAACAAATAACCATAAGTTCTTGAGATGTTTTCTAACTTTTTATATTAGCATTTTCATAATACATCTTAAAATTATTTTTAAAAATGTTTTGAATATTTACTATGTTTTGGAGCTAATTAAAGAAAAATTTCACTTATTCAAAAATATTGAAAATTAAATATTAGGTTTTATATAAGTTTCAATATCTACTTATTTATAAATATTAATGATACATATACACAGGTTTTTTTTATAAGTATTTGAAGTTCAAATGTTGATAAAATTTGTTGAAATCTCGAATATTTGTAAATAATTTCGCTGTTGACAAATTMTAAAATATTCAGGTGCATTTGCTTTACATAGCCTCTCCCCCTTTGTTCAGAATCAGTTTTTTGTTTACAATTAATTCAAATTTATCACATACATTACAGYGACTTACTTAATGACGAGGTAAATTTAACACATAATGTATATATGAACGGTTACCTTTTTACAATTTTACATTATAATTCTACAGTGCAAATATTATATTATTGTGAATTTGTATTATGTACATAACGTAGCTTTATAGACCTATAGGTGTTTGTAGACGAAAAATCCCACTGACAATAATCCAAACAATTTATGCAAATAAAATATTAACTGTATGTATTTAAAAATTGAGAGTTCCTGGTTACTGTGTGCCAGCAATATACTATCTAATACATATAATGTATATAACACCAGTATTCGGTAAAATGATGTGAACAAATGATAAATTGCTATTATATAGGGTTGGATTAGCTCAAAAAAACGGACCGGGAAATAATTTTTTAACAGGCCCCTGCTCTCAGCTCACAGCCTGTGCTATGGAGATGTTAGTACTGAATAATTTTGTTGCTCACTCAGTAGGGTAAGGGGGGGGGTGGGGTAGGGTTTTTTGTTGGTACGGCACTATTAAAATAAAGTTAATTTATAACCAATGTTACCATATTTCAACAGACGCTGACACGAAAAGTTTATGAAAAAAAAACATAAAATTGAATTGATAATTGATAATTTTTACTATAATTATTTTCTAATGAAAAGCAAATTAAAAAAAAAAAAAATGATAATTACTATAAATAGCATAAATACACTATAAAAAACATACTAGTGCAGGGCGTCGTAATATAATATATTATCATACCTTTTAAAGATWAAGAAAATTAACAAATTATATTTGTTTACATTAAAATAAATATATAATAAATAGTAGTAATAATAATATCCTCATCCTCGGTATTTTATATTTAAACGTTACTTACCATATAGTTTTGGCTATAGGTAGGTACGGTTATCACAACAGTTAAATATTATTAATAATATTATATTATTAGTCTTATTACAATTTAACATTTACAAAGGCCACCAAATAGCCTACTGCAGCCCCCATAGGCTCATTTTCAAGGTGGCCTACCGGGAAAATCCCCGGTGGCCTATAGTCCAAYCCTGATATCAACATTCGACACTGATAAAATAATGTTTTATCCATTTCGAACATTGAAAAATGTTACAACTTAATCTGAGCGAGCACTTTAGTGTTGYTACTATTAACATGCTGTACCTACTAACGGGCAAAATGAATTGATTAAAATATATACCTACAATTTTTTTTATTAAATCTTAAATCATTATTTTTAGAATTAAATAAAATTGTGAATTTTTAATTCAAGCTGGATTTGATTTGTTTATTTTTTACTATATTATTAGTAATAATATAGTAAAAATTATGTAATAATTTATTACATTTAGCTAAGATGGCGGTTGTTGGATAATCATTAATTGACTCCTATAAAAAGTCGCCTTGAACTATCATAGGTTTTAAATCAACATAATTTATAAATCTCTTATTTAATATAGGTACTCGGTTATATATAAAGATATACTTAAATCGTTCAATTAGAGTTAGTTTACTGTGGCTGAACACCAAAAAATAGTTTAAAATATAAAATATACTCAGATCATGTAGTTTTAATGTGAAAATGAAAAATTCACTAAATGAATGTCAAAAATGTGTTAGACTGTTATAATAGTATTCATGACAAGAAATAAGTAATATTTTATGACAATTACAAACACCCATCTGTTATTTTACTATGCTACACGAGGCAATTTCAATAAAACAAACAGGTGTTTTGTTGTATAGTTTATTTAAAATATATATATATATATATTACAAAAATAAAGTTAGTTGACTGGAATAAAAAAAAAATATGAAACGATTGGTTTATTACAATTTACACACCACTGTATAAGTAATGTGTGCGCTCGACGTACAACAGTGTTACACCCGTTTTTCAGTTATCTAGTAAAATATTATTTATTACATTAACGTTGCTTTTTAGTTTAATGCTATTATTCCAACAATACGTTTAATAATTATATTTCTTTACTTTTATAATAAAATAAAATAAGATAGGGTTTTTTTTTAAATGAATTCCCCTAAACATAGTTCGGAATACATATCTGCTATTAATGTAGAACAAACCAAAGACGAAGTCTACAAATTCAATTTCAGCATCAACGACAGAGAAAAAAAGTAATATTAATGAAGTATAATACTGTGTTAGCATAATATTATACAGGTATTTTGTTTCTAAAAGTGCGTAAAATATAATTTATAATTTATATGTAAGATGTAGACGATAAAGTTTTAAATTTTGAACAATACCTATATAATTTTATTATTTCGTTCAATATTGCGTTAAACCTAATACCTATATTATTTTTATCAAGAAAAGTTTTTAAAATTTAATTTTATGTTAATAGTAGGTATATAATATTACATACTATTATTAAAGTAGCTAGTTTTATGAAAATAGTTAAGTACCTACTTACTACCTATTATATTAATGTCTATATTTCGATGTTTTTATCTAAATCAATTAGTTTATTTTTTAAATATCAATATTTTTTTCGATTACCTAATTGAATTTCAAACATAACGAATTTCTGACAAGAATATATTTTATAAATTATTTATTATAACCATATAATTTTCACAATTTTTGTGATACGTTTAAAAAGCATAATTTTTTTTTTTTTTGGTTTTCCTGTTACCCCCTGTATTGAGTTTTTAAAATTTATTTGGTTATTATATTTTATCAATCCATATAATTATTAAAATTTAAAAACCATTAGTTAAACGACGTATAATATGTGCGCTTTATAATATATAGGTATCTACATTTCAYGTGATGAGTGTGCACCTGTAGGTAAACTCTATATTATAGTTATTATAACAATTTTATGCTAAAGTTAATATTAATGAATAATATGAAAAGTGTTGAGTTCACATTAATTATCTGAGAATACTAGTTATTATAATCCTAATTAACTGATATGGGTAAACATATATTGACATATTTACTTTGCTTAATAAAAATTAAATGAAAAGTCCTCAACGACATGTGTATTGTTTTATAAATTAATGAATTATTACTGTAATAGTTACATTATAATAAATTAGTGACAATTTTGTCATTTTGTGATACTTAAATAAAATAACATTATACTTACTTGTAAGTACTAACTTGTACATACGTTTTTGGTAAATTCTTATTACACATATATATATTTTGACAAATTTCTTTTCCTGAATCATTATTATTGCTGTCTTTTGATGATGAGGAATTTCTATTAAACTCGTTTTAATTATATAAAAATAGTTAAGCTAGTGACTTCAAACGTAGAATAAGTATATTTTAAAACCATAATATAAGATATCAATAGTACAATAATATCCATTTGCCGTTCATAGAACTGAGTAATAAAAACATACATTTTTTATGGCTAGTTAAAAAAAATATTACGTTTTCAATGCTAATAACATAATTTTGGTCAGAAAATTGTTTTCTTATTTATTTGTACAACTGAGAAATGCCACATTTTAATGCATATTTTATCTTGGTCCGAAATTTTAAAACTCTCTAGATTTAGATTTTTAAAAAAAATAATCGAAAAACCTATGGAATTAAATTTGAATCCAATGATATTATAAACGMAAAACGATTCTGAGCGGAGACTAAACAATTCTAATTATTTTCTCGTGATTCAAAAATATGATTCGTAGAGACTTGAAACTTTTACGTAGGTATTAGGCACCAATATTTTATACCCAATGATATTTTCAAAACATTAAAATTAATTTTATGCTTTTGTCTATTTATACTACGAACCTATTCACACCATTTTACGGTAAGGTGGTATATATTGACTCAAAAGTGAAAATTTAATAACATTATTTAATATAAATGTATGTTAATATAGGATAAATATTTATTATTATACCTAAACCTAATAATTAAATATTTAATAAAAAAGCGGATAAGTCGTGGATGTCGTTCTGCTGTACAGTTGGTTACAAGTGGGTTACTGTAATGGATGGAATTAATAATTTTGAATCCAATGATAATTATTATTATATCATTGTATACGAAAAACGATTCTGAGCGGAGACGGTTTATCTGTCTAGGATATATTATACATTATTAAAAATTTTCAAATCTTAGATTTAAAAAGTACTTAAATGTTTTGAAAATGTTACCATGTCTAGGTAAGGCTAATATAGGTAAACAACCCAAATTTCAAGTTTTACGAATGTTTTTAACCGAATTACAACAAAAAAACTCCCAAAATTAAATGTCTATAAATAGCTCAAAAATGGCTAAAATTTTCCGAACTTCAAACTGTAAGAAACAAAATCCAAAATACAACAAAAAAGATCTCCCGTCATTTTTCATTTGAAGCAATATTTCTGGTAGAAAACGTCGTCCGTAATTATTTAATATTATAAAATCGTATAAATTCGAAAATCGAAAAATGGCCTCATTAAAGTACCAGCTCAAGAACATTAMCTTTCAGAAAAWATGCTATACTTGATACGTTTGAGCAAGTTTAGAGGTAGAAAAAGTGTTTACAGAATAAAAAAGAAAAAGAAATAAACATTATAATAAAACCAATATATTCCTTGCTCCGCTCAGGATCTAAAATTGGTCAATATGAAATATTGAATAAAAGGTTTATCATTTATATTATAAAATATTATATAATATCATCGCTTAATATTAATTATTATATTTTGTTCTAATCTAAATTTTATTTCAATTAACTTGTATAACTTGTACCTATAATTTGTCTATAATTACTAAACGTGCAGTTTATCCTGTTATCATAAGCAATTTGTATATTATTAGTAAGTAATATTAACTCCCTACCTTCATCACAAGCTATGCTTATAGAAGGTAGGTATAAATTTAAGAGATATTGTATTGTTGTATTAATTATAACCTTGTGTCGTGTACAATTAATCTTTTATTTAAATAATAAAAAAAATAAAAAAAATAAAAATAGCATCTACTAATGAAATAACTTAATAATTACAAACTGTATTATGTCAATAGGATATAATAATAAAATAATAAAAGTTACACTTCAAAAGAAATATTTTGAATTTAGATAAGTAGTTAGATTGCAATATTATATTGCAATATAATAATTAGAAACTAATGTACCTAATAACTATTACAAATTATATGTTGGAATATTTTTTCCATATCTAATAAATGTATTACTTAATAATAATATTTTTTTGTATTATCTAAATTTAGGTGTTGTATAATGTTTATGTAATGTCAGGCCCATGTGCAGGACTTCTTAATGGTTGGTGGAGAGGAAGGGAGTTGAAAAAAATGTATAAAATATAGATTTATCATTGATTATTATTATAATTATTTTCCAATATTTTCTTAATTAAATGTACAAAATGTATTTATAGTTGGTCTCTCTTATTGACGTGTATACAAAAAACTAGYCTGGTAATGTTGTTGTTAGTATATTAATTATCGGGAGACATTTTATCTATCTTTCATTAAAAACAAMATAAATTAACTTATTTTAAAGATATTACCCTAACTTCTGGAATCGATCCAAATCACCCCGTTTGGTATTTTAGTTTCATTGCGTGAGCTAAAAACTGTGTAATTTGATACAGTAAGGGCAAAATCTGGCAGTACCAACAATGTGCACATTGCACAGTGTCCGATGGACAAATTTACCYATAATATTGCTTATTGTATAATAATATATAGGTATGTAATAGTTTATAACCATAAACTGTACTAGATATTTAGGTTCAACTGATCACGTCTAGTTYCATTAGTTTAGAAATTAGAGTAAAATTTAAACGTGAGAACATTATCTGTGTTCGGTGTTCGTATTATTGGTTTTTTACGATTTTAATTTTTTTTATCAGTTTTGAATATAATATAACATAGCGTAAATTAGAAATGCTTATAACTCATTTGAAAATTGAACGATTGTAAACAACCAACATACAAACACAAATTATCGTCTTACGATCAAGTTTCATAATAGGTTGATTCTGGCGCATTCGAATTGCGTCCGTAAATGATATTTAGTCCGAGTTGCGTCTGTGGTTTTGTCACGACACATCCGAGTCGCGTCCACAGATTTTTCAGTGACTGAGATGAATGGTTTTAAACTAGTAGATATCTCAAGTATCGATATCTTATCTGTAAATACCCCTTTACAATTTATTGTTGGAAATTAATTTTGTCCATGTTAGCATCAGTCACACTTCGACATTCCATGTTCAACAAATCAACATATTTCTATACAAATTCGCTTTAAAAAAATTATTAAATAATAATGTTCAATGCGGTCGTGTTCAAAAGGTTTATGTAAGTGTTATTTTAAAATGAACGAAAGTAGTGAAATCATTTGGAGGATGTGGAAAAAGAAGAATTTATTWAAAAAAACTATGACCTAGTTTGAAAACAAAAATGTAATAATTACGTCTCGAGTTCGTTCAAAAATTGGCATACAAAGATTTAAGTATTCATTTTATAAAATAATATATAATATATAATAAAAAATTTTAACCACACCATTTATACAAATGACAGTCCTCAGTGGCTCAGTCTGTAAAAGAGGGAAGGTAAATAATACGTATACTATTAACCAGTTAATCAATAATTATTAACCAGGACGCAATTCGTACATGTCGTGAGAAAATCGTGGGCGCAACTCGGATGTGTTGTGCAAAAACCACGGACGCAACTCGGATATCGCAATGTATATTTTCGTATATTACCTAGGACGCAATTCGTATGCAGCCGTAGATTCACTCTAATTTTTAAACTAACGGTTCTAAACGAGATCTGCTGAGCTTAAATTTGTTGTGTATGCATTTATAAGACGGAGACAACAGATGTGGTTGTGATGTCTCCTTAAATTCTGCCCAAAAACCATACATAGGACCCAGAAGGCCCKAGAAGATAACTTTTTTACCGTTATTCACGGAAAAATCTTAGGCATATAATATTAATTACATAAGAATAGATAACAATCATTTGTTATATTGTTAACACTTAATAGTTTTTATCTTTTATATTCAATTTAATTTGAACTGTAATATTACAAGTTTATCTAATAACTCATTAGCGATAAGCATATTTATTTAATTACCTATGTAGTTTAAAATAATTCAGGTTTTGATGCGTGGATACAAATTTATTAATAATATCATCAACATTTAGCTGTTTGACCTCAATTTTTAGRTAATAGATTTTTAAAAGGGATCCCTAATTATATACGCAAAAATTKTATACTAAATAATTACGTTTATAGGTTATATTTTGTTTTATTTAATGTTTTAGCCAATAATATAACATAATAACTATCAACAACTATGAAGTATGCAAATTAATTTATGTTGGTTTAAATTATGTATTCTGAGCGAATCGAAGATTTTATTAATTTCACATTTATTTATGGTTTTATTATATTTTCTTTGAAGGCTACTTAGGATAGAGCCTACAKGTAGGTTAGGTTAGGTCTAGCAATATGAATAATTAGGGGCTACAATGCTGCATGTTACTTGCGTCCCAAAAAAAGAAGGTATTTTTAACAGKTACTAAATTTGACTGGTAACTTKSGTCCCGTTTTGGGGACGCAAGTCGGCTATATAATTATTATAGATATTTACTACTAAAACCACTTAAATCGATAGTATCGTGTCACTAAAATCGATAGTTCATAAACTATACTATATAATAAATCTCACTATTTGAATAAATTGAATACATGAATTTTTTTATTATGCTAAAATGTAAAAATTATGAATTTTATTATTATGACAAAATGTAAAACTTAAATTAAAATGGGGTTTTTTTTGTAAGGGGAACCCGYGGCAACATAGGCYATTGKGTGTGAGGTGGTACGATAGGGGTTATTTTTGCATACTTGTTTGTAGGTTTTTAAGGGGGYAGGGTTGTAACACGAATTTGTGTATGTGTGGCAAGGATATGTTGCTAAAAATCCCGGGTGGTCTCCCATCCGGAAACTAGCAACTGCGGCCGGTACGTACGCTCAATGCGTTTCCGCAGATTGAGTGTACGACCACGCCTTACCAAGCCACAAAATGTGTTTTTATTAACTTATTGATATCGTTTATATCGATATTTTCGGGWCGCAATTAGGTTAYAAAAAAAGGTATTACGGGACGCAAATAGGCTATGACCCTTTTTGAATCTTTTTTTGCGAGACGCAACTAACCTATTGATAATATTTTCGGACGTAAGTAATATGCTCCCTAATCAGGGTGAATTGTAATATTTTTATATTTATAKTTTAAAACGATTTTTTTTGTWGGCAATCATGGTGGAATGTGAAGCCACTCTTATACTCTATAAAGTCTCTCGAAGACTTGCAACCCATCACGCGGTATTATAAAGTATAATGGTGAATCGTTGTCGTTTCAGCTCCTGGTGGTATATATTCTGTCTGAAATGCCGTCAGAAAGAAGTGGGACCTGGATGGGAGCCGGGGTGCTGGCCGAAAACTTGTCCACACCCGTACTGTCCTTCGTTCCGGCACGTGGCCCGGATTCTGGCACTACTCGTTACCGTCGCGATGTTCTGGGGTGTGGTGCTGGCCGTGATCGGCTCGGATGCCAAACCAGGCGGGCAGTTGTTCAACATCGCCATGCTAGTGGTGTTTGCGTATCTGGGTGGATGGGTGTTCCGTATGCTCACCTTGCCCGCACTCGTAGGAATGCTTCTGGTAGGAATCGTCTACAAGAACATTGGTCTCATCCACATAGAAGGTCACTACACGGAGCTCGTCTCCATCTTGAGGTAAGTGTCTGAAAAACGTGGACACGCTCAAATTTCCTTTAGTCCGAACCCTTAAATCGTACTATGCTACTATATTGGTATGTTGTTTTTTTTTGTGGGCGATAAGTTAGTAATGGAATGTGATGGGTAACTCAATCTCACAAATCCATTTTAAACATGCCAAGTATACTTATACTTACAAGTAAAATATTGCTTTGCAACGTCGTAAATAATTAATAAGAAAAAAAAGGTTGTACTAACTAACCAAAAATGTCGTAAAATATTATGTATTTACCTTATCATTTTTATTTTTTTTACTGTAAATTAAAATGTTTCAGTACACTTCATGCTATAACACCAAGTGTAAAATACTTGGTATTTGCTTTTGTACAATTTTTATACTAATAATAATTTCTAAAACATAATATAGGTAATTTTGACAATTAAGATAAAAATGCAAGCTAATGAATGCAGTTTAAAAATTTGGATTAGAGTTAATGAGGATATAATAGATAGGTGATAGTATTGTGGATAAGATTTTATACTTAATAATTGGTGTCGTGCAATGGTAATAAATTATGGAGAGATAGTGCCTTTTATGATTAGTACATTTAGAACTGGAAAAAGAAGGGAAATTAATGGACAAATTAATGAATTAAGAGTTATTATGAAGTTTGAAAACATATAAGAGGTTTGGTCTGTGTTCATATTTTGACTGTTGGTGGATTTTGAATATGATTTGCTTCTGGATTTAATGTTGATTGGAGAGCTTTGACAGGTTGAATACTTAAGGTAGACTTTTTATAAGCTGACTTAGATGCTGGACATCCCGTAAAGTTCGCGGTGTGGTTTAAGGTATATAGAATTAATTAAAATATTAAAATAAGCATTTAGAGGGACTATTTCGGTCTTAGGTACAATCGATCTTCTGGTGGTTTTCACTACATTCGATGCATTAGCTTCATGATTGCGTTAGTTTTTTTGTGCCCGTAGGATTAGCAGTTATGGCATTGTGGTGGGCCTCGTATTTATTTCTATGATTTTTTTATTATAACTTTCGTATTGAGAAGAGATGTTATGTTGTAGATATCACTATTATTTTCTTGTGGACGGATGTATATGAAGAATAGCAGAAGTTTAGGCAATCGTTTTTGTTTTTGGTATTGTAAATGTTTTTAGCCGAGTGTCATGGCTCGGCAAGAGAACGAATAATTTCGGTGTGTGAGGTGGAAATATGTAAATTTCTTTAATCCTGTATGTGAGATGATCAGGATGAGTGTACGAATATAAACTAGCCATAGTTTCATGTAAATAATATATAATTATGTTATAACTACGGAGACCTGAAGGTTGTACATTGAGATATGATGGAGCAGCTTACAGCCTTACAAGTGAAACCATTTGGACTGGTGATGTTTTTTTTGGACGGTGTTGAAATCGTAGAAATTTGTTACATTTTGGATGTGGATGAGAAGGGTTAGAGGCTCCATATTGTGATTTTTGTGAGACAAGCAATCTGGATCTTCTATCGTGTTATTTGTGATCGTGGAAAAAAACATTGTTTTCATTGGTGTCGAGTAAGGCGTAACGATTTATGGAGATAAAAACTTTTGTTTTTGTGTCGTTTAAACTAGGTGAAATTTATGTATTGGACAAGTTTTTTTTCGTAGATTTAGGTGTTCGTAGCGAGGTCGTGATGCCGTTTTTCTGAGATCTATTCATACAGATTGTCATGAGGTAAAATTGATATGATTGCGATTTAATTAATGACTAATGATTATTTCAGACGATAGCGGAGCGTAGACGATTGTGTCGTAAGGGTTTTCACCTTGAACGTTGTGGCCGAATTAATAATAATTATTAATTTATTACAGCCAGAGAATGTCATCAAAATAGAATAAATATTCATATTTTTTAATCGTTGAATTTTGTTTTTAATATTTTCGTGTTAAATCCATTTTTACTAAGTATGGTCATCAGTTCATCATAAAATACATTTAATTCAACTTATTTTACCTATTGCAAATTATTAAGGAGATTTCTTTTATATTTTTTGATACGTATAGTTATAGTTTATACCATAGTTTATAAATATAAAGATAATATATTTATGAGTTTGGGGCTTTGGGAGCGGCCAAGGTGACGATCGTTTAAAACAACAATATTAGGATCAATTATGATACTATTGAATGGCTTTATCGACAATAGGGGGATACTTATCAGGTTATCAGTTATTTTTACAGTGTATAATGTAAATAATAATATGGTTGTATGGTGTTGTGAAGGGCGAAATTCTTCTGTGCACATTTGTTTAATATTACGGTTGGATCAAGGGATTCCTCCTCTCTTATCCGCTAAGACTTATAAGCTGCATTTATGCCTATGGGTTCAATTTTGATGATTTTTGTTTATCTACCACACAATCTCATCATTGAAGCTGTAAGTCTTATTCCTTGACCAATTAAACACAACCAAGTTTAAATAAATAACCTTATGTGTAGATATCAAGTTGGCATTTTGTTTTAGAAAAATTGCGTTAGTGGTAATATTCACGAGAGCGGGATTGGACCTGGATCCGGTAGCGTTGAAAAAACTATACTGTAGAGTATTATTCCTTGCACTCATCCCGTGGTGTACCGAAGCAGCTGTAATTGCGGTGCTTGTTAACTATTTTTTGAGTTTACCGTGGTCGTTTGCTATCCTTTGTGGGTGAGTATCGTGTAAAACTAAGTAAAGTAAATATTTCTGTTCCATGCATACCTAACGATTTCGATGTAATAACACAGTAATCGTATATGTCCCAATCGTAAAACCTTTATTATAACACGATGTCCTCTGTCGTAGATCGATTATCGCTGCTGTGGCTCCGGCTGTAGTAGTCCCTTGCCTATTTCGATTGAGGACGAAGGGTTATGGTGTGGCCAAAGGGATCCCAACGTTGATCATAGCAGTCGCCGGGATTGATGACGCTGCATCAGTCATAGCTTTTGGAGTTGGCACTAGCATGCTTTTTGGAACAAGTACGTACCACCTATAAATCATTAAAAATAAATATGGTAATAAATTGAGTTAACTACAATATTCTTCTTTAATGTAAATAGGTACCAAATTTAAATTACAGAATATTTAAATTAAACATGTTATTTTACTATAGGTACCAGAAACCTGCTGGAGTAATATATTTTAGGTCGTTTATAGCTGTGTAATTTTTATACATATTATTTTTGTGGTAAAAAGTTGAAATATTACCATTTGAACATCTGATTAAATTTAGCCATTGCTTACGGTATGTCGTATGTGTGCAGTGTGTGTTTGCACTCTACAGTATGAACCAATTTTCTTTATAGTTTCGGATTCCATAATATTTAATGTCAATACATAATTCAAACTCAACGTATAATATGTGTTTAACATAAAATATTACTCTAGGCAGTGTTTTTCCTTCCTTTTTCTTGGTTAATAGTTCGTGGTTTTTTATATTTTTTTTTTGCATAAGTTGTGTAAAAAGTTCCCGTGTAGATTATTGTTTTCGAGTCAGTATGCTCAACGCATCCTACTCAGTAAAGTTGTACGAGTATACTTGCTTCCATACAATTTACACAGCTACTACAGAAACTTAAGTTTAAATTCCATCTTATCGGCACGTGAATATTATTATTATATACTATTAGAGAGTTATAGCTAAAAATTTATAATCCGCACCAAGGACGTTTATTGCTATGTCTATGACACTGATGAATGAACGCCATTATTAAATAACCTAGATTATTTTCTCCTTGGATACATAGTGTGAGTAGTGATTTACGTTTACAGAGTGCTGAAGTGCTTGCTAATTTTGTGTGTATATTAGTTAATCGTTCCAAATCCGTATGTAGTTTATTTCGTTAATTCTTCCGCTGGTAAAAATAATTCTTAAATTTTGATCTTAGTAATACCTAGTAACAAACCCTCATCTTTCAATGCTGATTAATGTCAGCTATTGATGAATCGCGTTATGAGTCCCTATTCTCAAACAAATTTGTGCTTGTATCACTATTTCATCGAACCAATAATTTAATTAACCCATTATCTCTGGTATCTGAGCTTTAATTGGAGTGGACAGTTTAACATACTCTTTCTCCTCTATTTCGAATGCTCAATGTATCCCCGAATGATTCGCTTTCTACCATTTTCATCAGAAAAATATTATATTTAACAGTTATGGTTTCTTACTAGGTCTATTTTTTTGTAATAATCCTCACAATCCTAAAATTATAATTGAATGTTGTCTGGAATCAGTTGTTCCAACAGATTAATTTTATCTTGTCTTGAATATTTTACTACCTACCATATTATCAGATCACTTAAACTACCACGCCCCTTCCTGAGTCTGTGACCAAAATTACTTTTATATAAAGCTGATTACACAAACATATGTTCTTTTATATTATCATTTGATTGGTGTTCTACTTTTGTCTTTTACACAATTAGATTTCAATTCGACTTTGAATTCTCTTTTTGATGCGATGCACATTTTTATATTTGATTTTGTTTCTAATGGTGTTTTTATTTATCTTCTTGTCCACCTAGGTTATCCAAGGAACTAAAGGCAATTTCTGTTTTTAAAAAAGAAAGCACATATTAAATTTAAGCGTCTTCTGATATTTGTGAATATAGGAGATTTTCCATACCTAATGCCAATTGAGTCTATAAATGCTTAAGTAAATATGCTAAACTTACCAGATCATCATTAAAAAGAATCCTTGTGACAACTGGGAATTCATCAATGCCGAATGGGAATTGCTCTGATAAAAATATTCATAAACAGCTATGCTTCAATAGATATAGGTCTCATATAATAAACAAGCAACTGCTGATCTTTAAGCCTCTTAATTTCCTTCTGTTGTACCTACTCATATGATCAAAACTGAACTCAATATCGGTGACTTAATTATTTTATCTTTCGATCTACCTAACAATGTTTCCATCAGTGTTGATGTTATAATTGTTTATCTGTGCTTCATTGTTTATCGCAGTGTTTCCCAACCTTTTTTTACTCAACACCCCTTTTAGATTTTAAAAATCTCACACCGCCCCCCCCCAATCATTTTTTTAAAATGATAAACGTTTTATTTTTTAATAAGCTATTTAATTTAAGACAAAATATCATTTAACATTTTAACGCTACAATTTAGTTAATTTTAAGTTTAAATACCTAAACTAATAATTAATAATTATATAATTTGATTTCAAATTCGCTAATATATGAGTTAATAGATGAGCGCCCCCTTTCTCATAAAAACGCCCCCTTCAAAATAACAAATGCCCACAAGGGGGCGGTAGCGCCCACGTTGGGAATCACTGGTTTATCGCCTTTAAGCCCTGATAGTCTATCCAGCGAGTTTCTTATCCAGTTAAGATCTATTTTCTTTTATTTCTATATGGATTATTTTCAATAGGTAAATAAAGAAATTATTCCATTTATCTTTAAATTCAGTTCTAACTCCTATCTTTAAATTGGTAAATATCCTTCATCAGTGTTATTTAAGATATTGGTTTTAAACTTGCCAGCTCACTTGATTCAAGACCACATATTGATATGGTTTGTTGTAAGGCCATTAAAACTAGTTTTGTTAGGGAATATTGAATAATTTCGTCATTTAGATTACTATACTGTTCCTTAGTCCGACCTATATTGGAATATAGCGTATTTAATCGTGTCTATAATATACAGCTAATGATTGTTTTAAACTTGCAAAATGTTTAATCTAATTATCTAATCTATTGCAATAAGTATTCGTATAAGAGGACGAAAATCTGATATAATTGTAATTAACTGTTATGCACCAACTTATTAGGAAAATGAGGAAGAAGAGAAGGACATTTTTTTATGAAGTTTTAGAAAGAACTTTTGACTCGCTACCAAAGAATTGTATAAAAGTAACTACACCTAGGGGATTTTAATACTCAAATAGGCAAAGAAGCAACCTTTCATCCAACTATCGGTTATGAAAATTTACACAACACATAAAATGACAATGGCATGAAACTAATAGACTTATCGATGGCCAACAATTTTATAATCAGTAGCACATACTTTCCCAAGAAAAATATTCATAAGCAGACTTGGACCTCACCAGATGGGAAAACGAAATCCCAAATTGACCACGTAGTAATTGATAAGAGATTCCAAACGTGTATTAAAAATGTCAGAACATACAGAGGTGTAGATGGGGACTCTGATCACAATTTAGTGATTGTGAGGTTTGTGTTAGGTCCGTAAAGTGGTGAATAAAAAACAATGGAATAAAGCTGTTAAATTAGATAGCGGCAAGCTAAAAACTCTAATAAAATAAAGGCGTACAGAGCTAGAGTAACACAGACACTTAAAAATTATGACAAGAATCAAGACAAAGAAAAAATACCTACATGGTCAAAAATAAAGAAATTGGACTTAAGTAGCAGAAAACCTAAGAATGAAGCGTAAGGGGAAAAAGAAATCATGGTTTAACAAGCAATGCCAGGAAGTGGTTAACAAATATCAAGTAACAAGACAAATAATGCTACAAGACCTCACCAGAAACAATATAGATAATTATACAAGAGCAAGAACTTTGGCCAATAAAATAATCAGACAACAAAAAAGACTCTCAGAAAAGAAAGCCCTAGAAGAGATGGAAACATACAGAATGAACCCAAGAATGTTTTTCGAATAATGCACATCAATTAAAGAATGATTTAAGGTGCGTTCTTCAATAATGAAGGATAATGATAATAATTTATTATCGGATCCGGGGTAGATAGTCAATTACTTCAGGATTTTCTTCGAGAGACTACTGAATAACAATAACGATAATCAATACAGTAACGACCTATCTTATGAACAAATAATAAGAAACACCGTAGAATCTGAAATGCTAGAACCAAACCAGGAAGAAATAGAACAAATTATGAATACTTTAAAAACAATAAAACCCCAAGCGAAGATAACATTAATCAGAACTCTTAAAGATAGGAGGAAAATACTTTCTGAAAACTATACAATGCCTCATTGCAGAAGTATGGAGGAGTGAACAGATTCAGAATGATTGGAAAATGGTCATAGTATKCTAAATTTTCAAAAAAGGTGATCCATCAAGAATAGAAAACTACAGAGGAATCAGTCTTTTGGACTCCATTTACAAAATCTATCTATTGCCATTTTGCATAGGTTCGAATTCTATAAATTGGTCAAAAGCTGCAATGAAAACACGTTTTGCCAAGTGCGGTATATGGGAGAAATGTCCGAAAGTTTTGAAGTCAAAACAGGGTTAAGACAAGGTGACGCTCTGTCTCCAGTATTATTTAATTTGGCACTAGAACAAGTAGTAAGAGATATGAAGGATAACAGATCCATGGAACTAGTTGGAAACAGGACTTTACTGGCATATGTCGATGATATTGATATCCTGGGAGTATTGCAAGATCAGATAATCTCAAGTATATTTAAGTTAATAAAAGCTAGCCAAAGAATAGGGCTGAGAATTAATGAAGATAAAAAAAATATATGATAATGACTAGGAGTTTAATCAATAACAAAATTTTAATATAGGCCAATACACTTTGAACAGGTGAATAACTTTAAATACCCCGGAGTTAATAAAATGGAAACAATAATATGCACAGTGAAATAAATTTGAGATAAGCGGCAGCAAATCGAAGTTAATTCGTTATGAATAAAATGTTCAAATTAAGACTTTTGTCAAAAGAATCAATGGTAAAATTTTACACTACTTATCTTCGTCCAGTCATCATGTATGTATGTGAGACATGGTCAACAACAAATGGTGACAAAGGAAAACTGTTGAGGTTTGAGAGAAAAATGCTGTGAAGAATATATGGTTCTATACGAAACCCGGATAATGGGGAATATGAGCGTAGGAAAAACAGATTTAGAAAGGCTTTTCAACAAACCAAACATTCAAAGTTTTCTAATATCCAAAAGATTAGAATGGGCTGGGCATGTTTGGAGAGCGAAGCAGGAGCTGATCCATAAAGTTTTAAGTAATAACCCGTCTGGGAAGAGACCGCGAGGAAGACCGCACTAGCGGTGAATGGACCGTATAAAGAAGGATCAAAAAGGAACTGATCAAATAGTAGTAATGGAGGAGACCGATAACAGGGRCCGTTGGAGAGTCTTGGTAGAAGCTGCGAAACGCCTTGAGGGCGTGTAAAGCAAAAAAAAAATTATAATAAGTGTTATTGAAGTTATTGTGTTTAAGTAATTATTTGTAAGATTTTCTAACGGATTTCAGACCCATTTATTATACCAAAATATTATAAAATGCATATAATTTATATGTTACGATTTAAAATTGTATTTATACAAACTGTTCTAAAGTTTTTTTTGCGATTGCTACTACATAAAAAAAATTTTCGTATTTCAGATCCAGTTACTTATGATCTATTGTTAAGTCCAATGTCAATAGCAGTTGGGATATTGTACGGTTTAGTTTGGGGTTTTATTGTAAAATATGTTCCAGAAAGAACTGATGTAAGTATTACAAAATACATTGTCAAAAATACATCAAATAATTGTTTCATTAATTTTTCATGGTTCTAGAGTTCTAAATAATTTTGTTCTTATAATACTTCCTCTCTGTCCCCGTTACGTATTTAAATGTTATTACTCATACAWGTCTATCTTATATACAGGGTGATTTTTTTATCATGAACCACTCATTATTTCAAAAAATATCAGTTTTTGAAAATATTTTTTTACAAAGTTTCATGTTGTTAACAAAACAACGTTTTTATTAAAAAAATTATGTTTTTTAATATTTTTTATCCTTATAATTTTTTATGTTTTTTACTTTTTTGAATGACAACCTAGAGTTTTAATTTCATATTCCAAAGCAGAATATTTTTCTAAGTATTTTGATACGTAAAAATCGAATTTTGGACGAGTAGTTTTTGAGTTATAAGTATTTTAAGTTTAGACAAGCGGAATTATAGTGGACAAACATTTTGCGGGGTAACCCCGTACCACTCCACTCCGCCAATCTAAACTTCAAATACTTATAACTCAAAAACTACTCGTCCAAAATTCGATTTTTACGTATCAAAATACTTAGAAAAATATTCTGCTTTGGAATATGTAATTAAAACTCTAAGTTGTCATTCAAAAAAGTAAAAAACATAAAAAATTATAAGGATAAAAAATATTAAAAAACATATTTTTTTTAATAAAAACGTTGTTTTGTTAACAACATGAAACTTTGTAAAAAAATATTTTCAAAAACATTGATACTTTTTGAAATAATGAGTGGTTCATGATAAAAAAATCACCCTGTATATAAGATAGACATGTATATACGTTAAAGACATGGGCTAGGATGAAACTTGATAAGTAATAATATAGTTGTTAAAAATAAAGTAATATATGGTATATTATATATTAATTTAATAAATTAGACACTCTCAGTTTTGTCTTGAATCGATAAATTATATTATTTCAATATAATATTGATACTGTTGATATAATATTTTGACTACTGTACAATTTATTATATTTGTATTAATAATAAACGAGTTCAAAGTTAAGAGTTTCTTTCGTTATTTAACTTGACGCCTGTAATTATTGTTYTGTTTATATAGCCTTACGTTGTGCCATTGCGAATTTTAATGTTGTCTGGAGGTGGATTATTAGCTGTATTGGGTTTTGAACGTACCAGTTTAGAAGGCGCAGGTCCGTTAGCAGTGATCATCTCATCGTTTACTTCAATTTATTTCTGGACTAAACAAGGGTGGAATATTGAAGATGTATGTTAATGGTTAAGTGCAAAAAATAAATTTGAAATAACATAACATTAACATAATTTTAAGTTAGCTAGTTACATTATTATCATAATCATACCATATTAAATGTAATAATATTGTCGATTGATTCTATACTAGAACCCAGTGGCAACGGCTTTTGAAATATTTTGGATGATTTGTGAACCAATACTGTTTGGATTGACTGGAACACAAATTGTACTTAAAGAACTTGACCTGAAATTCGTAACGGCAATTGTTATGTGTGTCGCAATTGCTTTCGTGGTATGTAAAACTAAAAATTATTATCAATCATGTTATATAAACTATCAACTACGTGTTATGTATTTATATTGGCTATTTKTACCACAATTAATACATACTTAAGGTTCAAAAATTAAAATTGAATGTGACACATTAGTTTTTATCTTTCCATTCAAGATATTAAATATTTTTATAATAACAATAATAATAAAACTATTATTGTTTTTTTTATTCTATATTATGAAAATTTTATGAAATATGGGTAAATAAATTATTATTCATGACATTTTATTATTCACTTTAGTTACGGACTTTTATAACAATCATAGCAGCCTCTGGGAGTTCTCTGAATTTTAAAGAAAAGCTGTTTATCGCATTATCGTGGATGGCCAAAGCATCTGTTCAAGTAAGTAAAATGATATTGTAAGGTATTTATTTCAGTGTTTATCTAATATTAGTCTACTGAAATAATATATTTGCAAGTAATTAAAAAACAAACTAAATTATTACTAAAAGCGTGAAGGACTTTCACTTTAATCATTAAAACAAATTTCGAGTGAAAAAAATTTAAAACATTTTTAAACTATAATGTTGTATCAAAATAGTATCAACCATATTTTTTATTCATTGGTTATGTTGTGGTCCTCGGGTTGAATCATAAGATCACACCCACAATAATTCACCATTTCATATTTTTCTTTAAAGCCTCTCATGGWATTGTTTTCAGGCGGCTTTGGGTCCGGCCGTATTGGAGGTTGCTACCAACAACAAAAATGAGGAACATATCGGATACTCCCGGACGATTGTGATGGTGTGCATCATCTCCATCCTGTTGACTGCCCCGACGGGTGCAATAATCGTATCGTTGTCCGGCCCCAAGCTGCTGACCAAGGCCAAGCCCAGCAACGAACAGTGGCACCGTGGGCCTAGACCCTCGATCCGCGATATCACACTGAATAGTGAAGACGAGGATAACATCAGCGTGAGCAACGATCAAGTGCAAGAGTCTGACGTGGTGAAAGCGGACTGCACGACCGAGGATCAAAGCGATAAGATTTGATTACCACGGTCACAGGAGTAATATTGAAAGGAATTCATCATCGCGTCATGTTATGCAACACAATATTGTACCATAATATAATATACAGGTTGATTCACTAAATATGCACTGCAATAATTAATTAAAAGTTTTGATTTTTAGAATTTTTAAATATATCTAAATATCTTGTATTAAAATTCTTGATATTTCTTTGTACTGTTTAAGGAATGTCCTATGAAAATTTAAATTTCTACTTTTTAAATCTGATTTTCAATTCCATTTCTATTAGAGCTTATTAAGCTGATATTTTTTATGTTAATTTTGTTTTATTTTATTAGAAATTCGAGTGAGTAGTTTCTTGGTTATTAAAATGTACTTATAAATTTATATAATAAGGGTAATATTCCTTAAAAATGTTTTGCAAAAATATAAATTAAATGTAATACTTAATATATTATTATGCTAGGACAATTTTTAATTAAAAATTAAAAATTATGATAGATTATTATTATTTACTGAAATGTTAAAATCACTATAGACCCCATTTTCAAAATTTGATTATCATCGACCTTCCTTAGCACAAAAAGTTAAACAATTAAAAAACTACTCGTTTGTATTTTGATTTTGTTCGCCAATATTTAAAAAAATAAATATTGTTATGGTAAATAATTCACAGTGAAAATTGGAATTTTAATTTGAAAAGTTGAAGGTACAACACCATAGGACACTTTTTAACCAGAGCAAAAATCTCAAAATATTGAAAATACGTTTTTTAAGCTTACTTAAAATATCCAAAAACTCAGTTTTTTAATAGCTGCAATGTTTAAGAAAAAAAAGGGTGAATCATCTTGGTGTATAATATGTGACTTTAGGCGAATCTCGATTTCCGATTTTCAGATCAGAAAATTTTGTTTTAATTTTAAATTTTACAATAAATCTATTTTATGGTTCATAATTTATCGATGTCTTATAGACTATAGTCTTGTTAAATAGGCGATGGTTTCAAATTTTATAATAGTAATAATAATTGTTTATATCCATTATGATATTTCACTCCACTACACTAACAGGAAGCAATCTAATCGCACATAATATAGGTACTGACAAATATAGAGTATCTTTTTTTCTTCATTTTTTCATTTTAATCCTATTTTGTAAAATATAGAAATTTTGATGAAATTGGATATTCACTTGTTAAATAATGATTTCTCATCATGGTATCTATATTTTGATGTAAATCAAAAACGAATAACCGTAGAAACTTAATCTCRCTAATTTTAACCATTTTCTACTTATTATGATATAATTTCTAAATAAATTGATTCATTCTGAGTTATTTATTCTGAGTTTTGATTTTAATTTTAATTTCACTTATCGTTATTCGTTTTTTCTGATTTAAATTTAAAACGATACATTTATATTATAATATTTATATTTTGTTGCGTAATATCGATTTAGATATGCTCTAATTCTTAGTTGGATTTTTTTTTTTGATTTAATATAGCAATTTTAACTATTCATCAAAATGTTGATTGACAACGGAAAACCTGCCACAGTTTGCGTAGCTGTGTAGCATTTATATTTTAGATAATCAAATATTAGTTAATTATTATTTCTTACATAATATTATGAACAACATACACCTATAGGTAGGTATAGTGGAATTGTATATTAAAATTTTTTTTTTAAATTTAAAATCGAAATGTAGGTATAATATAGGTACAAAATATAAAACGATTATTTATTTGGTATAAAATATATACCTAGGTACAATTTTTTTTTCGATTTCAACATAAATTATG